AGACTGTACTTCCTGTCTCTAGTAGAACGGTCCTATTCATCCTTAAGCACAGTTTCCAGTGCCTCTGGGGAGGTTTAGTCACTCCTTTCTCTGTGCTTTTATAGGTTTTGTTCACATCTCTGAATTATATAATAATTATGTGTTAAACTTCCGGGAAAGGGCCATGTCTCAAGCATCTAATGATTAATCTAGGTTCTAGCATATAGTAGATGTTTGGCACATTTTCTGAATGAATTAATGGTCACCACTTAGAATAATTTGCTTCATTTTTCCATAAAATTTGTTTTATGATTTGGTTACAATACCATCAACATGACAGTTTAAAAATAAAATAAAAATAAAAAATAAAAATAGAAGGAAAACAAAGCACATTTACTTGCATAATTCCTGAAAAACTGTCAATTTATGTCAGCTTTACCCATACAGTCGGAATGAATCAAAACTACAATTTTAGGCATGGTTTTACAATACAATTTTTAAAATCATTTTATTGGGGGCTCATACAACTCTTATCACAATCCATACATCAATCCATTGTATCAAGCACATTTGTACATTTATTGCCATCATCATTCTCAAAACATTTGCTTTCACTTGAGCCCTTGGTATCAGTTCCTCAATTTTCTCCCTCACTCCTTGCCCCCCCTCCCTCATGAACCCTTGATAATTTATAAATTATTATTATTTTGTCATGTCTCACACTGTCCAACATCTCCCTTCACCCACTTTTCTGTTGTCCATCCCTCAGGGAGGGGGTTATATGTAGATCCTTTTGCTCAGTTCCTCCTTTCTACCCCACCTTCCTTCCACCCTCCCTGTATCGCCCCTCTCACCACTGGTTCTGAAGGGTTTATCTGTCCTAGATTCCCTGTGTTTCCAGTTCCTATCTGTAGCAGCATACATCCTCTGGTCTAGTCAGACTTGTAAGGTAGAATTGGGATCATGATAGTGGGGGAGAGGAAGCATTTAAGAAATAGAGGAAATTGTATGTTTCATCAGTAGATGTATGTTTCATCAGTGCTATACTGCACTCTGACTGGCGCGTCTCCTCCCTGCAACCCTTCTGTAAGGGGATGTCCAGTTGCCTACAGATGGGCTTTGGGTCCCCACTCTGCACTCCCCCTCATTCACAATGATACGATTTTTTGTTCTTTGATGCCTGATAACTGATCCCTTCAGCACCTCATGATCACACAGGCTGGTGTGCTTCTTCCATGTGGGCTTTGTTGCTTCTGAGCTAGATGGCTGCTTGTTTATCTTCAAGCCTTTAAGACCCCAGACACTATATCTCTTGATAGTTGGGCACCATCAGCTTTCTTCACCACATTTGCTTATGCACTCATTTGTCTTCAGCGATTGTGTTGGGAAGATGAGCATCATGGAATGCCAGGTTAATAGAACAAAGTATTCTTGCATTGAGGGAGTACTTGAGTGGAGGCCCAATGTCCATCTGCTACCTCTAAACCTATAAATATATGCACATAGATCTATTTCCCCATCCTCATATATAAATATATTTACATATGTACCTGCCTTTATTTATACCTCTATAAATGCCCTTTGCTTCCTAGTTCTTTCCTCTATTTCCTTTTACTTTCCTCTTGTCCCACTATCATTCTCAGCCTTCATTTGGGCTTCAGTAATTCCTCTCGGTTACATGGCCCTTGATCAAGCCTTACCAGGTCTCTTACACCCTTCTTGCCACTGATTTTGGATCATTTGTTGTTCCCTTGCCGTTGGTTTTGTTAACACCACTTCCTTTCCCACACCTCTCCTCTCCCATGTCCCCCCCCCAACTGTTGATCCCATTGTTTTCTCCTCCAGATTGTTTATCCAGTCTATCTTATCTAGATAGAACTGCAGAGATAATAATATGTACAAAAACAATACAGAGCAAAATAAAGCAACAAAAGAAAACAAAACAACAACAATAACAAACCAATGACCAAAAAAAGAAAAGCCTGTAAATCGTTCAAGTTCTGTTTGTTGAGCTTTAGGAGTGTTTTCCGGTAGAGTCTGATAGGGTGCCACACCCTGGCCCCAAAGTCTACAAAGGAAGCCCTCAGGACTTCCTTGCTCTACTTCCCTTGCTGTTCTGTTGCACGCCCTCAATGGTTACAACACAATTTTTAAAATGAGCTTATAAAATCACTTGCATTCCCAAATAGCTCTTGAGCTGTATTAACATCATAGATTATAAATTGGAAGGGCTCACTTGCTTACCTAGTTAGGCTTCTACTGTAGATGCCTCTCTACAGTACCCTGAGAGGTGATCATCTAGCTTCTATTTCAACAATTCCAGTCATGTAGAGCTCATTATTTAAAAAACCAAATGCACTGCCATCAAGTTGATTCCTACTCATAGTGACCATATAGGCAGGGTACAACTGTCCCTGTGGGTTTTCAAGGGTGTAACTCTTCACAAGAGTGGACAGCTTCCTCTTTCTCCTGCAGTGACTGCTCCCCTTGTGTTTAGCAATTAAGTCTGAATTACAATGCTGACTCACTGATGGATAGAAAATTCTTTTTCCCCTTGATACCTCTACTGCTTCCCATTGTTACTGAGTGGATTCTATCCACAGCAATTCTATACTACAAATAATACCTGCCCCTTAGGTTTTCCAGGGCAGTAATCTTTATGGAAACTTTTTTTTCCCTACAAATTGCCTAGTGGGTGCAAATCACCAACCTTTGTTAGTTAATGAACATTTAACCAGTACTTAACTACCAGGGCTCCTTTCTCTATGAATTACTTTTAAAAGGCTATTGTAGTCATTCTATCTTTTCCAGACTAAATCTCATCACTTTATTCAACTTTTCTCATCTGTTGTATTTATCAACATTTTCACCAACATTGTTCATATCTTCTAATCATGTTTCAGTTTGTCTCTAACAATTCCATGATCTGAAACTAAGAACAAACCCCCAGGTGAGTTTTGCCCTGTGTAGACAATTTACCAGAGCAGACCTAACACTGATTTCTCATTTCAGAATTCTTACAGGTACTTTCCGAATGCTCCAGGATCTTACTTGAGACAGTGTCAAACTTTGACAGCGACTAGTAGGAAAAGGAATGACACGAGACCTGGGGTAAGACCAGAACCAAGGAAACCGAACCAATTCTGGGAATGGCTTTTTACTTGGGAAGAAAGTTGCCTAAGTGATTCAAAGGATTTTGATCTGATAAGTGGGGACCAGATATTTGAAGTTAGGTAGCAGAAACATGTCTCCAACAGCTCAGGAATGTGCCGGTCAAGATCAAACCCTTGAACAAAGAGATTGCCATGGGTTAAGCTAATTAGTCAAGTAAATTTGTTAGGTACCACCGAGTCACTTTTGACCCCTAGAAACCCTTTGTCCAACAGAACCAAACAGCATCTGGTCCTGCACTATCCTCCCAACTGGTCTATGTTCGAGACCATTGTATGCAGCTACTTTGTCAATCTGTCTGGTCCTGCACTATCCTCCCAACTGGTCCATGTTCAAGACCATTGTATGCAGCTACTTTGTCAGTCCATCTTGTTGAGGGCCTTCCTCTTTTTTGGTACCCTCCACTTTCCCAAGCATGATGTCCTTCTCTGGGGACTGTCTCTCCTGATAACATGTCCAAAGTATCTGAGACAAAGTTTCATCGCCCTTGCCTCTGAGGGGCAAATCTTCTTCCAAGACAGATTTGTTTGTTCTGTTAGCAGTCCATGGTACTTTTAATAGTCTTCACTAATACCATAGAAAACTAGTGCTTATAAAAGACCCAATAGGGTAATGAGAATCAAAATAACTCTGGCGTCATAAAACCTATGTTGAGTTCTACCTTTTCTACTTTCCCAAGATTTTAGTTGGCAGCCCAACACTTTAACTGTTTGCATCACCCATGGTCTTCTCGTGTAAAGATTAATGGGATCATATATGACGTTATGTTAACTACTGTGGACTCATCCCCCAATTCATGGCAACCCCATGTATAAAAAAGGTCCAACAGGTATGATCCATAGGGTTTTTGTAGACTGAATTTTGGAAAATAGATGGCCAGGCCATTCTACTTAGTTTGACTTACTCTAGAAGCTCTACTGAAATGGATGAGCATTATACCATTCTATAAGCCTCCACCAACAAAAGTGAAGTGTATTGTCAAGAAAACCAACCTAGATCAACCACATGCAAGGCTAGAATTTCTACCACTACACAAATCTAATCTGCTGCTGAGTCGATTCAGATTCTGAGTACCATACAGGACAAAATAGAATTATCCCATAGGGCTTCCAAAGCTAGAAATCTTCACAGAAATAGACTTCCTTCCTACTGTTTGGTAGGTTCAAGCTTCTGACCTTTAGGTTAGCAAATGAGCATTTAACCACTATGCCACCAGAGCTCTTCCTAAACCATCACCACACCCAGAATAGAAATGCAATCTAGCGTACAAGTGCTTCACAAAAGTTATTGTTACAAGTTGGAATGTATGAATTCAAAATAATTAGGACTTCTGAACTCTTTAAAAATAATTATGTAGTAAATGTGCTTGACACAATGGGTGGATGTATGGATTGTGATGAGCTGTATGAGCCCCCAGTAAAATGATTCAAAAAAAAAAAAGCATTATGTACTAAGAGGCTTTTCTCAATTTTTTTGACAATTGCTTTCAGAAAAGTACTACGTCTATTTTTTAAAAGAAGACAGATGATATGGATTATTACAATGGCTTGCAAGGTAATAAATATATCATAGTCCTCATAACAATTGTACTAATAGAAAGATTATAACAAATAAATCGTATTTTCCCATTTTACTTTCAAGGAAAATGATACCTTTATTACAAAACTTTATAATCAGCTTTTTTCACAATATAAAATTTAGATTCATCAATGCAGCCAGAAGTTTTCAGGGTCAAAAAATTTAATATTAGTTGGTAGTCTTTCCATAAATCCTTTTTCCAGCCACACACTACTTTTCTTTCAATATTCAATCATCTAAAACGAAGGAGTGGGTGCCACCTGTAGTGAGGTATGTGTGGCTCTGATCCTACAGTTGAGATCCAGCGAGATGGGAGTGACAGCACCTGTCATCACGGTCAGCTTCTTTTGGTGAGTGCCAGACCTGTATATAAGAGCCACACTTAAGGGTCTGTAGTCTAACGCGGGAGCTTTCTCAAGTACACACAGCCTTAAGAAAGCGCCAACTGCTAATACACCCGAGAGAGGATCTTTTCCTAAGAAAATAGGTGAGTAAACTTTATTTTCTCTCTTAAAATCTGTTGTAGATGTTTGAAAATTCAGCATTAAATTGAATGTGTACCATTTGGCACGAATATCATCATGCTCGGGGTAAAATGTGAAGGGGAAGTTGAATCAGCTCTCCAGACCCAGCCCAGTGTAATTTCTATCACTTCTTTTAATGAGAGGCATGAAGGAACTCAGATTGAAAATGCTGTTCCCAAAAGAACTGGTAATGCTGTATACCTGGATTATTGGCCTCACAAGCCAGGTGTTTACCTCGAATTAACTCGCAAGTGGTCTGAAAAATTCAGCAAAGTTAGGGCAGCGTATGCATTAGATCACCAGCCACCTGTTTCTTAATGTATTAATGAAAGTGTAGTAATTATTCAAACACCTAATTTTCAATAAAGGCCTTTTGTTTTGAGCTATGAAAAAAAAATAAATATAAAATCAACTCATGTGACTAAATTTTAAATGTTTTTAAACTTACCTATCTGAAATTAATGGCACAGTGATTAAAATGTGTCATTATATACTTTAGTGGAATCTGATTTTAAAGTTTAAATTAAAAATCTGTCTTATGAAAAAGGGATTTAAATAGTCAACATCAATTGTTTAGAATGGAGTTGAAGGTCAATTTGTCCTATATAATATCCATACCTAGATTATGTGTTTTGTTACTCACAAAGAGTTCACTGTGCAAGCGAGTGTTTCTTGAGCACTTATGTGATTTCGCTTCACCTAAACAAGAGGCTTTTCTAGTTTCAAGAATCTACACATAAATTGTGAGGGAATTTTACAGCAGCTTTCCAGCTCTTTTCCTTGGCATTCTCCGAAAAAGGATAGATAAATCATCAGAAGTGTCTGAGGTCACTAAGTCAATGTGAGAAACCTAGGAATACACCTACATGCTTGCTCTCTAGTAGCGATGCTGTTTTTGATGTAGGCGAAAAATGAGTCCTATTTATGTTGCTCCATCAATAACTTTGTATTGCCCAATAAAAAGAAATGTACCAGACTGTGCATCCTATAGTCTTCTAAAGCCTCCAGTTTAGAGCACACGGCTATGCCATGGATGTGGTGAAAGGGAGAGTACTCAGCATGAAGGGCAGATACTTCTATTTGCAATTAATAGGCTGCAGATTGAGATTAAGAGTATTCCATGTTGAGATGAAAGTTTTTTGGTTGATAGACAAAAGTGTTGAAAATTTATATTAAGATCTAATTGTTAAAAAGTAAGTTGAAGAAATAAGATGCAAATAAACATTGTTAAACCTATGGAGCAATTAATTCATTAGGTGATTTTTAAGTTTTATTTTATTTTATTTTGCTCTGGCACCTCCTTGTGAGCATGTTCAGAAGAATGCATTAACTTACTAACAATCTCTTCAAATCAAAGCTTATAAATTTTGTGTTAAAATGCGTGAAATGAAGTTTACTTGTAGGAAAAGGGTCTGCTTAGTAAAAAGTGTTAATCGTTTAGTTCAGTAAAGAATTAACCATCTTGAAGACAATTTTAAGCGTTTAGTCCAAAGTACAAAAAATGTGAGAGGGATGTCTAAAAAAGAAGTTACTTTATTCTTCATGTGGCTTCAAACTTATATACTAAAATGTGTATAACTACTCTAAAAACATTGCCAAAGAAAGTAAAACTAATTCAATTTCTAAGTCAAATGAGGTACTTATATAATATATACTAATGTTTCTGTAAAATAGAGAGACTGAGTTCAACAGCTTTTCATGAAAACCCATTTGCTTACTGTCAAACTGCATGGAGTTTTCTATACATTTACTATAGCATTTGGAATATTAAGAATGTCTTAAAATCCTCCCTTTTTGCTTTTCCTTGTAGTGAAGATGATGTCTGCAAAGGGCATGACTACAGTGATGGTTGTCTTGTTTGCAATGTGTTTCTTTACAAAGCTGGAAGGGAAAGCTGTTCAGTAAGTACTCTAACCTAGGTTGAATGGGAAGGGCCTGGGGGTTGGATGATTGGAAGCGGCTTCGTGACTTGGGAGTGGAAGACTAATGGAGTGTCCCTCTCTGCTTCTGTTTCTCCCAGGAAAAGATCTGTGAGTGAAATACAGTTTATGCATAATCTGGGGAAACACCTGAACTCGATGGAACGAGTGGAGTGGCTTCGTAAGAAGCTACAGGATGTGCACAATTTCATTGCCCTCAGAGCCCCTGTTGCTCCCAAAGAGGGTGGATCTCAGAGGCCACAAAAGAAGGAAGACAACGTTCTGGTTGACCGTAATCCAAAAAGCCTCGGAGAGGCAGACAAAGCTGATGTGGATGTGTTAATCAAAACTAAATCCTAATGAAAATATACACAATCAGAATAGGCTCTGGACACAACAGAGCAAAAATATTACTGCTGCTAATTATTCAAACTGTATTAAAATGAGCAAGTGCCAATATTTCTAATATTGCTAAACTTTACAAGTGATTCATGGCTGGCCTAATAGTGGCACTTTTAATTGTTTTGATTCTACTTTTAATTATCTAAAGAGTACTTTTAATTATTGTATTTCCATTGTCTATTCCTTTAAAAATATATTGCGGCATAACTTATAAAAGAATAAGGTGGTATTTTTAATCTCACATTTTACAGTGAAAAACACACATTTAGTGATAGTAATTCTAAATGAATGAACGTAAACGTTTCTGACTTGTTACAAGTTTGTCTTTTAGGGTGTGACTGACACAGGTGTTTAAATAGATCCTAAATAAAAAAATAAATAGATTCTAAATCATTCAAAAGGATCAATTTTCCTGGAATAATGATCATTTTGATATATTAAACAATGTTCTTTTAATATCACCAAAGTGCCAATTTCCCAAATCCTTGATAGTAGATGCCATTATTGTCCTCTTTTGAGTCTCCAGGGGGCAAACCCACTTAAAGACTAATCTCCATCTGTGATGGGAAATCCACTTATACTCACATAACCAGGGTCTTTGTCTGAATTTTCAGCTCCCTGCTAAATTCTCATCTTCGGGTTTCAGTAGATCGAGTGACCCTACCAAGGCAATACATCCGAACCTAAGGCTCTGCAGGAGATTTAGGTTCAGCCCATCACACTTGCCGAGATTGGGAAGGCCCTGCTCCCCTTCTCCCTCTATGCATGAAAGCATTGTTAATAAGGGGTTTGGTTTTCCTGTGCTAGAGGTTGCAGGGGCAAGTCCAATTTGCTATAAAAAACTAGAGGTTCAATGTATGACAACCTAAACGGTTTGTTTTCTGGTTCACCTAATGTTACTGGACAGAACAGTTCAGCAGGGTGGGCCCACCTACATAGTCTGGAAGGTCTACCTTCTGTCAAGGTAATCCGAGGGTTGTCACCAGTCTAGCCAAGAGGAACTAAAAAGTATTATGTCAAAAGGCTATGTGAAGTTTATATGAGCCAGGCTTAGAAAAAGTGACATTATTTCTTCACATTCCCTTGGCAACAATATAGGAAGGGACCTGATGTTTCAACCATAACCCCTTGGTACATAACTGAGCCCACTCTGTGTCTCCATGGAAGAAAGACCGGAGATCTGCTCCGATGTGACTACAGTCTAGAAAAACCTCTGAGGCTACTACAGCCCGCTCTGTCACCTAGGGCCACTAGAACAGAAATCAACGTAACTGTTGTGGCTTTTAATTTCCTTCTAGGCGGCCTAACTCATGGCAATTCCATATGTATCAGAGCAGACCTGTGCTCCATAAGGCTTCCAGGGACTGATTCTTTGGAAGTAGGACTAAGAACCAGTATGAGGAACCTCAGGGGTGGTTCAAATTGACAACCTTTAGATATCAGTGCCAACCGGGAAGCCAGGAACATTAAAAGCTACAGTTAGATTGCAGAAAGGCACTAGATTAGATTGCTCAGTCAAATTGTCCCTGCAGTCTCTCAAGTCTCTTATCATGGGTACAGAGATTCAGATATTAGATGAAAGTGACAGACGAATTGGCTAAGCAAAGAGCACATTGGGTCACAGGGATGTCTCTCTGTTTGGAGCTGGGGATCTTTTATGGGGGTGAAATTTGGGGGGAAGGAATTTTGGGGTGGTTACTGGGATCTGATAGGTTGGTGTCAACTAATGATTTAGCACAATATTTGTTGGTCTGTATCATCTCTCCTCTAAAGAGGGCTACAAATGTGGCTGTTGCCCATGTTCAGGGCATTGATGGACCTGTCTTTTTAGCTGAAACATATCAAAAGTCAGGCAAGGAGCATGGCTGATCCACGTGCACATATCAAGCAGGTAAATCTGAACTTCGGTGTTCAAATAAAATCTTTGGTTTGTTGTTTACATCTTATAACTGAAAGGGTACCTTAGCAGGAAATTGGGTGTTTTATCTTAGAATCAGAGTCCTGATGGTGAAGTAGATTGTAAGCCTCCTGTGCCAACATAGTCCCTAGCCCTCTTATTTCTAAATGCCTTCCTCCTATCAAATGCCAGCGGTCCAAGTGCTTGATGGTTCACATAAACAAGGACCGAATCTTGTTTTATCAATCCTCCTTTGAAATGTTAAAGAGGCCTTTGAAAAATCTAAAGGAACAAAAATACATCAGTTTAGATAGGGCTATAAGCTAAAACTCCTTGACATGCACGCAAAAGCCTCCTGAAATTTGTATCCAATTTACCTCTGTAGACTGATCTTCCATTTCCTATGTGTGGCACTACCCTAATATAATATATTCAATATTCAGACTTCATTGCTCCATGCCTTCACACATGCTGTACTCCCTGCCCTCGCTGACTTTCTCCAAGAGAAAGCTCATATTCATCCTTGAAAACAGTTTCCAAATCCTCTGGGGACATTTGGTCACTCCTTTCTAGTGATTTTATAGGTTTTGTTCATATCTTTGTCATTCTAATTTTGTATAAAATTGAGATTTTAATTTTGTATAACACTTAAGTATAGGGTTCATGTCTCATTTATCTAACCAGTAATGTTGCCTTGAGTCTATCGTAAGCAGCCCTTGCAGTGTACTGGTTACACAGTAGGCTGCTAACCCACCATCTCAACCACGTTCAAAACCACCAGCGCCTCAGAAAGAGAAAATTAGGTCTCTGATCCGGTAAAGAGCTACAGGCACAGAAATCCCCAGGCACAGTTCTTGCCTGTCTGACAGGCTCTCTATAAGTCAGCATCAACTCAATGGCAGTGAGGTTTGGAGAGCTTTTGTTTTTTCCTAGTACATGGTAAATTATTTTACATATTTTCTGGGTGAATTATAGGTCACCTTTTAGGATCTTTTGCTTTATTCTATAAAACTAATTTTATCATTTGGCTGCATTCTCTTCAATGTAACTATTTAGTCTAAAATAAAGGGTTTAGAGGAAGGCAGTGAAAGCACATCTACTTGGACCATTCTTAGAAGGTTGTCAATTTATATCGACCCCATAAAAAGAATGGGGAAAATTTCAATGTAAAGCACACTTTCACAATACATTTGTATGGTAAAATTGATTATAAAATCAATTGCATTGCATTTAGTTCTGGAGACATATCAACATCACCGAAGTTTAGTTTAGAGGGATCTCTTACTTACCTACTTTGGCTTCTACCATGTATGTCTCCCTACAGTAATCCCTGAACTGTGAATATCTAGCATCTGTGCCAACAATTCCCATACTATGGAGCTCATTGCTTAAGAAGGTGGCTGTGATTTCTGGATTAAGTCTAATTTGCTTCCTTACAAAATTCACTCATTGCTCCAGAGAAAGACTCCTTCTTCCCCATGAAACCTCCACTACCACCCATTGCTACTTAGTCAGCTCCGCTCACAGCACCCTCTGCTACAAAGAAAAACAGCTCTTTAGGTTTCCCAGGGCAGTCATGCTTACAGAATCGCCTGTCTCCTGCATAGAGGCTGGTGGGTGCTAACCGCCAACCTTTCAGTTAGTAACTGAATGCTCAATCAGGGCCTAACCACCAGTGCGCCTTTCCCTACCAGTAAGTAAAAAAAGCAATTGGCAGCATTCTCTCTATCCAGACTAAATCTCATCACTTCATTCAACTGCTTCTCATGTGTTGTATTTTTCAGCATCTCACCGCCATGACTCATATTCTTTAGGCATGTTCCAATTTGTCTCTAACAATTCCATGATATGAGACCTAGAACAACCCTCCAGGTGAGGTTTGCCCCGTGTAGTTTCCCAGAGCAGAACTAACACAGATTTCTCATTTTAGAATCCATACAGGTACTGTACAGACTCCTGTGGGGTCTTACTTGATATAGAGTCAAATCTTCACAATGGCTAATAGGAAAAGGGTAGACATGAAACCCAGATTGGACCATAGCTAAGAGAATTATACCCATTCTGGGAATACCTCTTTCGTTGGAAGGAAATGTGCCTAAATAATCCTCAGATGTATGTATCATGGCCATTCAAGGGTTTTGATCTGAGAGGTGGGAACCAAGCTGTAGTAATATTTGAAGCCAGACAGGTGCCAGCATCATGCCTCCTGCCTCCATTAAGTCATCATCCGAGGAAGTTGCTGGTCAAGGTGAAATAAATCTCTGAACACAGAGGATGCAAAGGGTTAAGCAAATTAGAAAGAAGACTGATGCTCAGTGAAGAGCTACAACTCCAGGGGAGAATATATATATATATAGTAGAAGAATCAGAATGACTCTGGAATCATAAAGACCTATGTTGAGTTCTAGTTTATCCCCCTTCCCGAGGTTTTAAATGGCAGCTCAGCACTTAAACTATTTGCAGGACCCATTGTCTCTCCTGTGAAGAATTAATGGGGCCATAAATGATGTCCTTAGCTGCTGTGGACTCATCCTCCAACTCAGGGCAACCCCATGCACACTAAGCTACAACTGGTGTGATCCACAGGGTTTATTCTTATTCTTATTTTGCAGAATAGATGGCCAAGCTTCTCTTCCTAGTCTGCTCCAGTTCAAATCCTCTACTGTAAACAGTTAAGCTGCATACACAAAAGCCACCACAGAGAGGGAGCGCTGGTGGCATAGAGAATAATAGGGCTGTGACCAAAAGGTCAGAAATACAAAACCACCAGCCACTCTGAGAGAGAAAGGATTCTGCTCCATAAAGAGTCTCTGAAATCCACAGGGGAATTTCTACCCTGTCCTATAAGGTCAGCATGAGTCAGAAACCACTCGATTGCAGTGAAGGTTTCTTTGTTTTGTTTTGTTTTAGATGCTTGAGGTGCAAGAACCAGGAAGCTAAGCAAGGTAAACCACACAGACAGTTAGAAGTTTACCACTAGATTATCAAATCCAACCTGCTGTCCTTCAATAGATCCCAACTCAAAGCCTTCCTAAGGGAAACAACAGAACTGCCCCACAGA